CGAAACTGCAGTCCACCCTGGATTAGGACAACTTTTGGGAAAGCAAGGCTATGTGAAATTCAATGGAAACATGAGCTCTACTCATATTAATGTGGGAACATTCTTCTACCAGTATTTCATCACCTTAAACGAAATTGGAAGAATACACCTCATATTACTGATGTAGTGATAGTCTCGAACCTGCACTTAAAATACGAAAAATAAACGTTAATAGTCCAAAATAACCCTTTTTGATAAAATAGTTATCATATAAACAAAATATCTCCTGCTTCAATGAATTTCTTTAGTAATTTGTATATGATGAGTCTGATTTAGCTACAAGTAAGCCATTCCTGATGAGTATAGTTGCTTAACATATAAAACAGTACACAAATGTATGTCTACGTAAGATATTTTATCTACGTATATCTATTCGTCTACATAGATATCAACCTAAATATTTATGAGTTGTTTTCACCATATTTCGCTTAAGGTGATGAAGGATTGTTAGTTGAATTTTCCCACAATGCTATGAGTAGAGCTGGTGTTTCCCATTGAATTTCACATAGTCTTGCTTTCCCAAAAGTTGTTCTTATCCAGAGTGGCCTGAGGTTTCGACTTCGCATAGATCTTATCAGCTCCCCAAGCGGGAATCGAACTATGACAGGGCAGTGTGTAAGCTCGACACGTTAACCACTACGCCACATTGCCACGATTACGAATAGAACGAGTGAAACACCTTTCAGGAAAGCAAGACTATATTAAAATTAATGTAAAACACCAGCTCTACTCATATCATTGTGGAAAAATGGAACTACTAATCTTTCATTACCTTAAGCAAAATAGGGCGAAAACAACTCATACATCTTATTTACTGTTAGTCTCAATAACCTACTCACTCACGTAAATAGTTATGTTATCGGATATTTCAATGTTGCTCTGATAGAATTCCTATATCTTAGGATGACCAGTTTAACTCAGCTAACCAGTATTCTAACTAATTTCTTCTCATATCGAGGACATATTTTCCCATCCTATGATTTTAATTATTCTGAGTCGCATATGCTAATGAATAACTGTAAGTTTAACTTTCTCATTTACACTAGCCTCCAAAAAGGCATTTTCATCCAGGTTAGACTGCTATTTTAACATAATCTATTTGTATCATCAACACTCCAGACGAGAATCATGAGCGTAAATTGGTGACATTTGACCACAATACCAGACAACTATGACCCTTATTTAGTCCCATAGCAAACGTGACTTTTAAGGCGAACCAGGCAACTATCGTACCAAATTTATAGTGAGAATTTCGATTACAAAAACTTTTGTTTAACGTTACAGCGGCCACTTTACTTATATTCATTATTTTTAATATAATTTAAAACAAAAGATTGTCTCATCAAATATTTCACTATATATTTGATATGAGAGAGGCCTAGCTTGTCTCTAGAATACATGTCTGTGACGTAATGTTAATTTCTCCGAATTGACAAGCATGACTTAGCTTCAATTTCCATTGGAATCTTCAGGAGACCCTACCAGTTGATCCCGGATTATAATACCTTACAAATAAGATAAAGTAAAATTCAGTGGTATCATGAGGCCTACTCATATAATTGTTGGAAAATTCAACTAGCATTCCTTCATATCCCTATGCTTTCTAGACAGATATTAATTCTTATTCAAGATAAGGAGTAATATCCTGTATCATAGATATCTATTCTTCATGTAGAACATAGCTTATGAAATAATTTTCCGGGCAATGAATATGCATTATGCGCCTAGACATATAATGATACATAACAAATACGTACGTTTATGCTTTGTGATAATTGTATTAATATTGCTATATATCTATAAATAACTATCAAACATCAAATATCAAATATGGTTTAGATCAAGTAAGTGTAAAATCATTATTTAACTTGCTTAAGGATGCAGTTTATTACTTTTATTAACGCAAGAATGGAGCATTATAATGAGTTGTAGTTTGCAAGAAGGTAGAAACTTTTCATTAACAAGATGCAGGCGAAATTATGTACTGATTTATTTTGTTTCTTTTAATGTTATTTTAATATATTCAAAGTATCTGTTAGGCACATAACATTTTCTATATGTGACGTTGAAGATAAATAGATAGTAGCTATAATTGCTGATCTAAATAACAGATTCATAAAGATTATGCTAATTAGGATGGGCTCGCTTCTGATTTTAGGTTTTAAGCCATTCAATTCACTAGGAGCAGTCGATATTTTGTGCATTAAAATGCTACTCTTCAATTTTACCTGTATTTGAAGGCTAGTTGGACGTATACTAGATACTTTCTGCCTTCTCCACTTACATGCTTTTATCTTTTATTAATGACAATACCGT